TCCAGTTGTAGTGCCAATGTTCACGTGCCCAAGACAAGCGAACGTCCTTTGCTCTCTGGGTCAAGAGAGGCACTTTTCGTGGAAGAATTGAAACGTAACTGAGATTTTTTAGCTCACGACAAACTGTACGTTCACTGACCTCGAGCTCAGGGTCATTTTCTTCCAGTTTAGCCTTAAGTTCGCCTGCCGTCGTGAAGTGGTTGTGTTTCAAAATTTTTCCAATATGGTGGCGTTTCTTGGGGGACAACTTTCTTGGGCGACCAGGTGAGTGATTTATAGAGTTATTGCCAGTTTTACGTAATTTACTGACATATCATTCACAGGAGCGTAAAGGGATATTCAATCGTTCGGAAATTTCTTTTGCATTACGCACGTTTTGTTGCCAAAGTGACTTAACGGCGTTTCACTGGATTTCAAGTGGACTTGGCATTTTTTAGTGGGCAAAAACGAAATGTAAACAATAACAAACCTAATTGTTTACAACTTACTTATTAAATAAACAATCCATTGTCCAATTTGGTAATATAAACAATGGCCCGATTCAGAAAAATGGTGACGTTGCGGCCAAAAATAGATGCGGTATCTCCACCGCCATTCTTTTCGCCGGGGACTGTATATTGTGACCTGCTGAGAATAACAATTATTTCCTTGACATACATAAAAGAAAGAAGGCTGCCGTGTGACTTTTTAAAATATCATAGATATTTTATGTAATATTTTTACCAAATTTGAAATATTTGATTGCACAGGAAATATTCTGTTATGAAGAAGACTTGAAACGGTAAATTTAGTGCAGTTACGGGTGAGATCGAAATCAAGGTAAAAGGATAATGAGTCGTTTTTTTCTTTTTCTGCTATATACACTGGCTTGAAATTATTTGCAAATAATTGAAATTTACAAAAATATTTTCATTTTCCGAAAATGATAAATGGTTATGGTTATTTTTGCATCGCCGTGTCATGCAAATTCATTGCTATCTATTTGGCAACCGAAAATTTTATCAAACATCAGGTTGAGCGAAGCAGATACCTGACTAAAAGGAAATCGTGTTTCACTTTAGATTTTTTGCTTGGTATCTGTTGTTGTCTATTGTCACATATCAGCCGATTTGGTTTTTTAGGCCTTTTTTCAAACCTTATGTGTTATTATGTCTTGATGTTAAACACGAGTATTTTAATGTGTATACTGGTCAGTAGAATGATAATTAACCCTAAAAAAATATTTGCTCCGCTAAAAAAAACTATTTTACTATTCAACAACCCGTCAAACCAATGGCCCACCTCAAAACCAATGGGTTTTTGCTAGTATAAAGTATTCATAACGTTATGATCATACCGTACTGGATTTTGGGG